TCACAGTGTTGGGCAAGAGATCTACACAAGTATCCGATGGTTAGGCCACGGTAGCTAAGGATGGATCAGGATCGTATCCCTATTGTAGCATTGCGATGGCACCACCTGGAAGGAGATGGCTTGCTGAGATAAATCTATAAATTGGACAGAGGCACAGTACAACGCAAAGGACAGGACCAAGTGAAGAAAGATCAGTTCAATGTGGCCTCATGTCCCATGAATAGGGATGAAGAGGACTAAGTAAAGTACGGTAAGTAAGCAGATGACATCATCACATCATGCGTCTGACCACATGGGATGGCAAAATCTAAAGATGCACCGTTGGAAAGGCCTTCTTTCGTTGATTACTTTAAAATGACAGCTTGCCAGAAAGAATAATTTCACAGGGAGTTTAGTCCCCTAACTATTTTTCAAGCAAGTATGTTTTCACCAATAATACGCCAGTTAATTTTTCGGATGGCTGCAAATGATAGACTATAGCTTAATGGTGAACCGTATCTGTTTTTCATTGTTTAGAATTCAACTGCTCACTTTCCCCTTCGTGAATATTAAATAATGCAAATATGGACCTTGGTACACCCAATATGGCGGCATAACCATGTGACTGCATGTCTTCTATAGACTGCTGCAATCTGATGACTACCTGGGCCCGATGTCTGATTACCCTTAGTGAAAAATCCCTGCCTACCATAGCAGAAAATTTGTATATCGTGTAAGTGGACAATGTTCACAAGCTGCATTATTTTGACAAGATTCTACCGCAATAGATCAATTATATGGAAACCACACAAATCACTTACTGTTACCAAGTGACATGCATCAAGCCTGCATGCTTTATATAAACGTTATATAGAGATATTACTAAATGGCAATTGTTACAAAACAGTTTGTATCAATTAAAGGTATATAATAACAAAAATGGCAATTAACGTGGTTTTCCAAAATACATTACTTAAATAATTTTATAACAAATATTCTTTCTTCAGTTAACATCATAATTGATAGTGTTTTTTTTTTAGCATGAGTGGACATTAGCAAACCGTTGCCACAATTGACTTGTTTGAGCTTTTATGCCGTTATTGACGACTTGGCGCAAATGACTTTTTACTTGGTTTTACAAAATTGGCCAATGCCTCTTATTCATGGCCGTTGGACAGTGATTTCATACTTGCGGAAGAACGAAGAGTTCATTTATCTTCATCCTATTGCATTTTTTTGAGTATAAATGTTTTTGATACACTCTGTTTATGTGTATTCTTTGCCAGTCGGGCGTTATACCTCATATGGACTTTCCCTGTGACTTTCTCTTGTGTACCAAGGAACTTGGTCTGGTATTACCGGCATATGCACTGTCTTTCATCAAACTTTGATGTATTCCCCCTTCAGAAAACAAGCATAACATAAATGTATGTTGTTAGTTGATAAAAAAATATATATAGAAAAACAAACATTCTTAGTATTAGAATGTGGGGGCAACTGTGGCTCCCCCAATTTCTATAAACTATATTACACTCTACAAATCAACTCTTGTCACTTGAAACAATTCACTGAAGTGTCTGCATGCATTTGTCTTCTGAATAAGGGAATCCCCTTACATTTATATATGCGGATGCACGCTTATTCAGGAACGGCATGTTTTAGTAGGGAACATGTTTGGAATACAGCGAACGCGAACAAGCCATTCTTCTAAAAGGAAGCATTCCAACGAAAACATACATATTAAGATTTTTGAGATGCTCCCTCAGTAAAAAAATAAGCCGAACAGTTCAATTTTTTTGCCTGAGATCAACTACAGCCATCTCTCTCTGGCCATTATGGCATGGTACACACCAGGTTAGCTTTTCTCACCAAATCATGGATGCACCCCCTCAATTGCACAAATATGTAGCATAAGCTGTGATCACGTAAAGGTAAAGTCCATCACTTGGAGATATCCAAAAATTACTTACGTAATTATTGTTGAAAAGCAAGACGCATCTTCGAAAATTCTATTAGGCTGGGATCCTGCTGCTGCACAATTTTAACGTGTTTTTAGATGGGGTTATGATCAAGAATAAGCTTTATGCGGCCTCTCTGGACTCCCATATTTTGCACTAAGTTTAGTAGGGCACCATTTGCATTTATCAGCCAACATTTGAAGCAAAAAAAAGGTAAACCAGACGGACGTTGTGTTTGTAGGTAAACAAACACCGAGCTGTTTCGGTGTTTTTTCTGTCTTTGAATGAAAAGATTGTCGTGGCCATCGGAAGCTATCGAACCCAGAACCTTTGTGTGGGGATTCCAAGTTTTTGCCGTGTGTGCCAAGTGTGTGAAGTCGATTTATGTCACACGTCCTAAATCCACGTGGTTCAATGTGTGCACAGTCCTCTTTTCTTTGCGTTTGGGAACGGGTGCGCGTGCAAAGCGCAGGTGGGTGATTCCATAAATGTAGTGTCCAATTTTGGTGTCCGAGTTACATCTGACTTGTGTAAGATTTTGTAATTCAGGACACATGTCTCTGATTCTAAGAGTAATTATGTAAAGCAAACTACCTGGTAAACAAATGAAAAATAGTGTGAAGTCATTTTTATTGACACTTGAATGGCAAATTAACAGGTCCGGTGTAATAGGGACACCAAAAATTTCACACTTTTGGACCCCTTATTTATGGACATACCCAGGTGCACAGATGATGATAGCGGGTCGAGGATAGATTTAGGAAAGTGTCAAAGTGTACCTGTATTTAGCAACTTATTTCTGGTGTCTCATATTGAGTCGTTCGTCCCATTCATTGTTTGGATAGCCGATAGAGGGGGTTATTTATTTGTACAGCGCTCACTATGGATACGCACTTTTAGCCAATCAGGAGTACGCGCGTATCACGCACGCGATCGATCGATATCAACGCGACGTGTGCACGTAGCTGGATTGTGCATGTAAACAGACGGAAATTCGAGACAAAACCAATGTTCTTTTACACAAATCTGAACGATCCATATATTCCTAGACAATGCACTTGTAAAATAGGACCTACACAGCCTTCTTGGAAAGTCGGCGAACAAATTGACAACACGGAAAGTGCATTAATTTCCAATAAATGTGAGTGTTTGTCGACTCATCGTTTCCAGTGACCGTTACCATGCATCAGTTGTGCGTATGTCGTCATATGATAATTCCATTATACTTCAGGGAGGGTAGTATTACCTGAAGCGCGCAAACCTAATAGGCCTAGCCTACGCCTGATAACAAAAAAAACAGGCCATAGGCCTATTAACAGCTTTGAAAATGTTTCACATCGTGGAGCATGCAAGATTATCTAAATAAACTTTATGTAGAAATAGTTGGCAGTATTATTTTCTAAAAATAAAACCTTGAAAGAAAGGAAACAAAACCAAATATAGTAACGGAATTCCCCGTGGCGTACCGCTACTAAAGTTAAAACGCTGAACTTCTGAAGTTCTTTTGAAAGTAAAAATTACTTACACACAATTTTCATACTGAACTTTTATTAAAATATAATTTGAATATTTGTGAACTATACTTTCATATTCCGAGTGAGCAAATTGCATAACAAGGTTCAATGGGACACGGCACGTCGCGAAAGAGCAGTGTTGTGATTCGCTTGAACGAAGACCCATAGAGAATGCGCGTATTTCGGTTGTAACATGCATGTCGAACTTCAAACATAAAAGTACTTACACACAATTTTCCGAGTTCGATAGGATATTTTCACGACATGATCTTGAATAAACGTAGTTTCAGTTACCGAGTGAGCAAATTGTGCCAAGCACTTCAAACGAGTGGTATAGAGTGATTTCAAAATGACACAGCGTACTCAGCATCAAATTCTACATGCATTTCTCTGTTCTGCCGTTGGCGGCGCCCCTAATGAGACGCTTCAACTCGATATGATATTTGAAGTAGGAAAAACGATATTGAGGACAGGAAACCAGTTTATGATTTGTATCTGGTATGGAAGACCGGTTCCCGGTACTAATACGTATTCCTTTGTATGTACTTTTGGGCGAGGACCAGTGGAAGATATAGGTAACGTTGGACTCCAGAAATGTAGCCTGGTTAGAGCTAATCAGTACAGGCGCGAAGACATTATTTCGGACATCGTACTATTTTCGGACATCATTTCATAGCGTGATTTTGTTGCCGTAACATAGTTTGATAAACTCACGATGGTGCGACATGATTCCGTGTTCAGCTTGCTCGGGCTAAACGGAAGGTTAACGCACTTTTACACATCGTGTTCAGCGTGCCAGGGCCCCCTATGTTGCTTTTGCACGGCATGTTCGCATTTTGCGATCGCGAAAATATTAACAAAAAAAATATTCTGCATTGAAAGACGTTCGGAGTGTACCTAAACATGCTAGCCTGCCTTTATTCATTATTTTTGTGACCCATTCATTTATTTATTTTTTATGAATTGACTTTTATTTAACGAATTAATAAATATTATCAACTTAGGATAAACACGTGAACCCTTAGCAACCATTGAATTGCATGGGGGTACAGACGATTGAATGATGTACATACACGTACACAAAGACCAACTGACCAGCATGCAATAGCGGTAGGTTAATAGATTTTTCTTACATTTTACACCCTAAGCAGCTCTTTCTCCTTGTAAAGACAGCTTGAAATTAAAACCATATAAATGTACAGGGATTATGGGTTTAGGATAAGGGTAGTTCTTCATGTTTACAACAGTAAATTAAGGGGTTATTGTGATGGTGTAGCCTACACATGTAATTAAGCATGTTAAGTGCAGGCGAGGACCAAGGTAAAAAGGATTAGGCCTATCTGTGAGTTGTAACTAGTACTACTAGTAGTACTAAGCTGGCCTATCCGCCATGACTGTTATTGTCATTTAAATAATATAATAAATATGACAATAATGTCATGATTGTTAATATATAATTATTTTAGTATTTTGTTTTATAGTATTATTTTAATTACTTTTATAAGTATTATTCTTTTAATATTATTTGTGTACATAGGCTATTATTAAGTTTTTTTTTTTTTTATATTTGTTTTCTTATTACGATTGAAATAATAAACCTTACCATTTGAAACACACATACAGATGGCGGACATTCAACAGCTAACCAAAATGGTTATTGGGATTGAGACAAAGCAAACAGAGAATCCGACTGATGCTGATGATGGGACCGAAATTGTTGTAAGTGTTCTAGAAATTAATTTTTACCCCCATGGTTCTAGTAATAACCCTGGGAGACTAGGTATAAACTAAAAAGCTTTTTTTTTTTAGGGGGACCGTTCATTTTTGGCTTGACAAAAGTTTTTTTAAAGATGGTGGTGGTGATATGTTATATTTGAAATTAAAAACCTTACCTTTTTGAAATGCATTCACAGATTCAACTACTTGATGAAATGGTTGGGCATGTCATGCATGTTGACATCATGGAGAACGCAGGGGTTGAGAACCATGAAGTGGGTGAAGAACCCGAGCAACCAAATGCTCCTGGGGTTGTGATTGTTGTGGAAGATGAACCGCCAATAGCAACTGAGGAGCTGGGACCTAGACATCCATCATGGCGTTACAAAGATCCCAAGCAGGCAGTGGATGAAGTTGAAATTGTTGGAATGTTTGGTGGGTTACATGGAGTACAAAACTTTCATAACTTATACCACTGTATATCACATGGTCTGACGCCCACCCCTTTTATCAATATGATTATACCATAATTGTCTGACGCAAATCATACACATCTGTAGTTTTCCCACTAAAAATCAGACTGACTATCATTTTGATTGATTAATGAGACACCATTTTGATGAAGTTCAATTTGCAGAAAATACACTGTGTTATGGAGAAATTTTATGTACCAAAAGTCACTCCAATTTGCGTTTTAGAATACAAACATTTTTTCTTAAACTAATAAAAATGAGTTCTCTTATACATGTTATAAAAACAGGGGAAGAAGAGACACCGGACGCTGGATCTGTATCCAAACGCTCGTGGGGGAAAAGACCTCTATGTTACATAGAGGATGTTCGCCGCCGTCAAAATACGTTTGAACAGAAGAAGAAACGTATGAAGATACTAGTAAGTTTAAATTAAGAGACATAAATTGGTGATATAATGATACCTCAATACAGGATTTTTCATGAGTTTATTTAAATGTTTTGGGTTAAAATTCAAACCTGTATCACAATCCTACATTTATTTAATGTCAAACCCTTTGAAATATAAAACCACAACCTCAAAAGGTCCTACTTACCATATTTTTTTTCCTTGTTGCTAGTCTTTGCAATTTTAGATGTGTTCATTTTGATGATCATCGCCTAACTCGGTCACATCGGTACTGTCATCCTCATTGATAGACCGTGGGCCAGAAATCGTAGCGTGCAGAATCGTTCGGAGTTTTTGGTGGCAACTTTTTTTCTTTCCTAATAGACTCCTTTTGTGACACTGATTAATATTTTTGATGTTGCCGGCAGAAAACCGGCAAACTAATGTGAAAATCAAAGTAGAAAATTGCCACTTTCCCGTCGCGTCGGCGATGTTTTTTTTAAACGCCGATTGAGGGCAGTATGTTGCAACCTCGAATCGGCGCTTCGTAACCGATGTAGAAAATTGCGTTAATTTTCCCGGGGACGAGGACGTCAGGAGGAACATGGCGGCGCCCGTCGGCAGGACATGCGTTTGCAACGTTGGCGAAGAAAGCGGTGAAATTTCACCATTTTCAGAGACGTGCTGGAAGACGTTTGTAACTTGTTGTCAGCAATGGCAAGAATTGGATGGAAAGGAGAGGGAAGTTGCCCCAAAAAGCAAAGATAAAGCGAAAAACGAACGACCAAAGGCCGAGTACGGCTACCACCGTCATGACCGTACCGGCATTGCTAGTACCACTGCCAGATCATGCAGATGTAAGTGTCCAATTCCAAACATGTCGAATGTTAATTGTTATCATCGTAGTTGGGGGGGGGGGGGCTATTTATACTATTTTAATACGTAACTGAAGTCATTTTTAAAGCAAATAAATAGGTTGTGTTTGCGATTAGTAGGGCCTACATTGAAAATAAAATAGGATTGGACAAACATGACAATCTGACAATCATTGAGTATTTTGGGGGTAAGATAACCATATTTGGCCATCACTTGTCACTCTTTACAGTCAGAACATATGAAACCGGTCTTAAAATTTGGAATTGTGTTCTCAGTAAATATTTAAATATTTTCCCTGCTAAGTTTTAGGACTGATTTTCACTTTCCAATGGCTGATACAGTGATAGGTCACTGAAGGGAAAAATTAGTGATTGCCAGATCTGGGAATCTTTCACTTATTTGTTTCACACCGGCTATCATTACAGCAGCTGTAACGTTATTGTCAACCTCTGTTGTTAGTCTTTATAGCATTGTCTGGTTCTTGTAATACTCAATGTTGGGATCCATGGCTGTAAGAGCCAGACTATAGACAGGTTAGTTTTCGGACATTCTGTGAGACAGTTTTTCTTTTAAGAGCCACGGACATGAGGGATATCGATTACGAAGGGAAAATAATTAATTCTACTTCTAAAAGAAGGTGCCTACAAGAAGTATGATTTGATTACAAACATACTTTTAACTGAAACTTTCGGATCTCTATTATTTTAATCCAATCAGCCATTTCATTGCCAAATATTTCATCTGTCTCGTTCTCATTTCAACAGATTCTGCAATGTATCAAAAATAAAGCGAGCAAAACTGAGGATGGAAAAGAGCTCAACTAGTGAAGGAGGTGATGGCGCAGGAGATGTGGTAATCCCCCGCAAGAGAAGACGCACAGGAGAGAAAGAGCAAGGACCAGGCATGTTCTACCAGTGGAGTGCATCATATGCAAGAAGAGCAAATGGATCCAGCCGCCATATGGACCGCGGAAAAAAGAGCCACTCACCAAGTGCGAATATGAAAAAGGTACAGTCATAATTACATGTTCATGTTTATAAAGTGTGACACCGCCATAATTTCATATAAATGGAAAGACATTTCCACATAATTGTTAAAACCACTTTGAACCAGATTTTGTTTTCACTATATTTTTCAGGTGGACAACTTCTCAATGCTGCTGAACTACTCCATGATGAATCCATCCTTCTTGATATTCAAGGTCAAGACATGGTGGCAATCGAAGTCCGGTATCACAGATCATGCCACAAGAATTACATCAAGGTAAGACACTGAAGCTATCACCAATGTTGTGTTTCTCCCCCCTCCCCCAAAAAAAATCAATGCAGAACCTTCTTTATCATGAAAAGTGGCTAGACGTTTGGAGTATTTTCTGTTGATTTAGAGCATGGCAGCTAGTCAATGTGCAAGGTGATAATATTTTCCTATTTTATGGAATATTATTAAGTGTGTGACTAAAGTCAGATCACAGTAATAGTGCCCTTATTTGTAGGAGATAGTGCCTTTAATTGTAGGAAATACTAGGATACTTAAAAAAAATAATAAATAAATACATTTTCTATGGGCATGCCATCACATTATATTCATGTAAATTGGATAACTTAATTTGCATGCAACTATCCTCCGAAACATTTCTTGTAAATGCAAGAAGGGACATTGCAAGTCACGAATTTGTTCTTGTGTGGCAGGCGACTTGCCGTGTACAGACTTGTGTCGTCGCAGTGATTGTGAGAACACCACTACTGAAGACATCGAATGCCTGTCCAGCGATGACGAAGAAAGTGGCATTGAAGACGATGAATAGACACAGGGAATTCACGTAGTACGGAAAGGTTTACATACATGTATTCATCATCAGCCATATTTATGTGTTTGCTCATTCTACATGTACTTGTAAATATGCATAGCTTTTTTTTTTGGCATGGTGTAGACAGCAGAAACGTGATTTGCCATCATGCCTTTCAGGAAGAATATTTCTTTGTTTGTATTTTACAGCAAATTTCCAGTTTCCAACAGTATATTTTTTGGCTTATGACAATTCCTCATCTACAAATAGTTCTTCCAGCTCCACCTTCTGTCGACCCAAGTTGATGCTTGAGACGAGCGCAACAGCTCCACACTTAAGTGAAAAACTCAATACCTGTAATGCCTTGACAATCCATTATTGCATAATTGCATACTTTATTAAAATAATTATGAAATATTTGGAATTAAGGAAGTTCCAGTTCTAGACAGTTCATTTTTGTGTTAATGGCAAATTCAGTGATACCTTGAAGAACTTTTTTTAAGAAGAACATATCGAGTATGGCCAAAGATTTATTTGTTGCTTATTTATTAATTAATTACCACAAAATAAAACCTTTCCTATTAGGTCATTGTTGGAACCAAATACTCTATTTTAGGTAAATGACATAATTCGGTAATCTGCAAATAAGTCTTTGAACTTCATATGTTATGGAAAACTCGGTGATATCTTGAAACAAAAAAAATTTGGGGTGGTACAAAGTGTTGACTGTGGTCAATTTAGCGTTACTTGTTGATAGTTTGAGAATTAATTACCATTTATTGCTTGCATCAAGGACTTTATTTTAGGTCAGTCTTCTCCACATAGTTTTTCCTTTCATAAACATTAAAGATTAAAAGTTAGTGCTGTTATAATCAAATTTGTTGCAAAATTGCACAATTAATTACCATAATTATGTAATTATGTTAAATTTGGAGACAGCTCATTTTGGATTAATGACATAAATGTACATGTAATTCAATACTTTCAGCCTCACATGCAAAAATTTAGTGATACCTTGAACAAACTATTTATTGGCATAAAAAAAACACTAAATATGGCCAAAGCGTTATTTTGTGCATAATTTCATATTTAATGATCACAACAATAAAACCATTAATATGATATTTTTCCTTGGCATCAATATAACAACTGTTTTAGGTTAGTTATATAATGCAGTCGTATACAATTATAGAAAAGGTCAGTCATGCCTTATATGGAACAGTCAGTTACATGTATGCCTTCTGCGCCAATTTGCAATAAAACATATATGAGCATTTTTTTCATATTAATCTACATGTAAATAAGAAACCACCTTGTATATGAACCTACAAGTCTATGAAGTTAATAATAATTAATTATTCTAAGTGGGTGACGATCTGCATTTGAATCGAAGTAGCCGTTTCTGAGAACTTTAAGGGGATGGATACCGCCATCGGTCGCTAGGAACCCCTAATAGATTTTTTGGGGGGATCAAACTTTGGACGGGGATTGTGACTAAACGTGCCACTTAACAGCTCGGCAACAGGATGAATTGAATTCAGCACCCTCGAATTGACAAAGAACAAGCATTTTTTTCTTGCCATCAACATTTTTTAACGGACTTCAATTTTTAGGCGAGATAGGATTTCTGGCCCACGGTCTATGTGCTCTCTTTTCACTATTTTCGCGTCTTTGGATAGGTTGATAAAACTATCTCCAGTTAACGACGCACTGTTGTGGAGGTTGGCTTGGCATTTGCGTTTTGGCGGCATCTTTAAACAAAGAATAGTGAGAGAGAGATTTGGTAAGAACTTTATGTCCATTGTTTGCGTAGCAATTCACGCGAATCTTACATCACACTGTAGGCCTTTCATATTCACGGGATATCTCACAATTGTCAAACAAAGTAGTTACAACTCTTAACGGACTGATGTTTCAACTCTTAACGGAATGGCATGTTTCTTTGAATACAGTAATATCCGACTATTGTATGACAATGTTCTGAATCATAGCAGGATTCTAACTTTGTCCGACTGTAGTCGGAACTTCATAAAATCATTATCACCGACTATAATAATGCCTAGGCCTATGTGCACTTCGATTTTCGTAAGTAAATAAAATAGTCTGCATCAAATCAGTGACGGAAGATGAGCTTTCCTGTTCAGATAATTAATGGACCAACTTGTAAGTATTGGGAAAATAATAAATTGAGGCAGCATGTCCATTAAATAAGCTTGCTATTGAGACTGTGTATCTAACCCCACCTACATTACATAGGCCTGAGCATGCTTGTCGCGTCAATGGTGTGTGATAGGCGTCTAGTGCATGTGCCATATACTCAGTCACAATACATACAGGCATGACATGTGTACATCATCTTACCTTCAGTCTTTGGTCAGTTGGTGTTGTCATTCATGGTCAGTATAGAGAGACGTTTTAGGTTCGCATGAAAGAATGATCAGCAGCATAAAGTAATGATAGGCCTAAGCACTCTCTCGAAGCTTCTCGAACGGGAAAGAGTTACGGACGAAAATATTGCCTAGTTATCGCCGCAACACGATGTACACTCACACGTGGGACGTGGCTGATCGACCGACCCGGATGTTTAATTTTTTACGATGAGTCATCGCACTGTGGGATTTGCGCGATCGCGGGGAAATCTCAAAACTGTCGGATAAAGTAGTGAGCATTTCAGCGAATGTGTACGTCGCACCATGGTATGTTTCCTTAAATATAGCGATGCCTTAATATTGTAAGACAATCTAGAGAATCAAAACCGGAAGACTATACTTCGTCCGACTATCGTCGGGAGTCATACAATAGTGAGCTAAGCAACCCAGTGCCGTAAATGGGAATATTCCAGCTATAGAATGATTTCCAGTAATAGTACGATTGTCCGAAATAATGTCTGTGCGCCTGTACTGGTAATAGGCATGCGTTAGAGGATCTTAGCGATACTGTGAGGGCCGGGTTGATCGAATAGTGTGATTGATATGGGAGCAGGATTTTGTTGACACCGCTATATGGGGGCGCGGCGCGGCGCGGCGCATGTGTGCGACATAATACCAAACATCATTGTGAAGTCCAGTCGAAGCCATCAGCGAGATTTAATAAATAACTCATTATATTTTGAATTGTTTCAGAGTGACAGTGTGAGCGTGGCACTGCCAGAGAGATTGATCTGAAGCGGCTGTGTTGTTTGTGGAAAAGTAAGTAAAATTCTGTGTATTCCTTCCTGTATGGTTGGGATAAGTTTGAAAATGAAGTGAAGAAGTGATACTGATATAGGCTATGTCATGTATGTTGCGTAGCTAGCTGGTCCTACGTACCGCTCATTTAGTTTGTGCGCATGCGCATTGAATCGTCTTAAGGCCAGTAGTTTAGCCAGCAAAATTTTGACTAATCGACCCCCAAAAGTAATCAATCAACATCACTCTCGGATTTCCTTATTTCCGCCTTATTTTGATACTGACTAGAATTTAAATCCTAGTGAAAGTCCTTTTCGTCAACTTAAAAGTCTTTAGGCGAAACGGCATTATAAATCCCACACAATGTACAAAAAAAACCATTTTTTTGTATCACTTGGGTTATTCTATTAAATCTTTCCTACATGTTTTTCAGTGTTTTTTGGGGGGGGAGGGGGGTGGAATTCCAGCACTAGGGCATATGACTTGTGGATTGAACCATGAAAACAAAATTGGAAAGAAAATGTTTTCATTAAGTTTTTATTGTGTGGGTTTGGATTGTTATTTGGCAAAGTCGACTCACCTCTGGTGACTAATGTCTGCGCCCGTCAGTAGAACCTGGGCCTGCTGCGTGGTGTAGTCCGATGGTGGTGCACCGCGACTATGTCGGAACGGCCCGTCGGATTACATACGATCCGTCGAACAACAGTTCGGCTTTATTCCCAGTGAAAATGGCAATAATAACGTTCACAAAGACTGACAGTTATGTACATCTGACGAAGACGAAATAGACGATGATATTTACGAATGACGATGACGAAAATGTACACAAAGGAAAACGATGAAAGCGGATGAAAACTTGATGAACGCAAAATAGTAACTTGACTGAACAGTGATAAAAACAAGATGGCGATATTTACATGTGCGTTTGTTAGTTGGAGTTTTCATGTCTCCAAGTGCAACGCACTTTGACCTTTGGCCACAGCAAAGGTATGGGCGGCCAAACGGACAAAATTAGAAAGTGTTTTACGTGTCGCTACAGTAGCTCCCCCGTAGGTCGTGAGCTAACAAAACGATTGATGAAAAGGCTGTGTCTCTCCAAGTAGCACAAACTTCAACCATGATCATATTGCAGTAATTTGGTTGGCCAATGTACTGGCGTCCAGATCGCGTTGTTCGTTGCTGTGATTGAGTTCCGTCACTAGGCAATTTGGGCGACGCTACTGATGTGTCTGGCACGGGAGGTCGAGTTGGCTTGGCAATAGGCTTGTCAATCACAATAGGCGGATTGTGATCCGATACTGTTACCATGTCTTTGTCGGAGTATGCTACTTTGAGGCGGTCGATACCTACGGTGTCCCTTCTGCCATTGAGTTCCAGAACAAAGTACTTGTCTGCTCTTTTGAGGACTCGGAAAGGGCCATCGTAAGGGGGTTGCAGTGGTTTTCTGAAGGCATCGTGCCTGACGAAAACGTGGGTGCAAGTGGCGAGCTCGGGGTGAATTTGAGATTTTTTCAGTCGAGTTCTTGTAGGCGACGGTCGCGTGTCTTGCATGAGACGTTTCAGGCGATGGACGTAGTTGCTTGGGTCAAGATCCCTGTCTGGTTTTGCAGTCTCCACGAACTGACCTGGCAATCTGATGGTTGTACCAAGGACCAATTCTACTGCTGAACACCCGAGATCTGCTTTTACCGCTGTGCGTATACCTAGCAGGACGAGGGGAAGTGTCTCCGTCCACTGCTGGTTGGAATGTGCTTTCAACGATGCCTTTAGCTGTCTGTGTAACCGCTCGACCAGTCCGTTAGCAGATGGATGATACGCTGTGGTTCGTATTCGTGTGGTGCCAAGCATGTCGGTGAGTGCCTTGAAGAGGGCAGACTCGAATTGGCGACCTCTGTCGGTAGTTATGGTTGACGGGGCTCCGAATCTTGACACCCAGTGGTTAACAAATGCGCGAGCTACAGTCTCTGCTGTGATGTCCGGAATTGGCACTGCCTCAGGCCATCGTGTGAATCTGTTCACAGCGGTCAACAGGTAGGATTGACCATTCGATGGAGGAAGTGGGCCTACCAGATCGATGTGTACGTGATCAAACCTGGCGTCCGGTGTGGAGAACGTCTGGAAAGATGTCTTGGTGTGCCGGTGAACTTTACAGCGCTGACACTGGTGACAAGTTTTGGCCCATGCACGTACATCCTTGTTTATGCCCGGCCACACAAACCGTGCAGTTAACAACTGCTGTGTTGCTCGGATCCCAGGATGGGACAAACCATGCAGACCGTCGAAAACTGTCCGACGAAAGTGGGTTGGGATGTAGGGTCGTGGAGTTCCTGTGGACATGTCACATGTGATCGTGCCAGTCGACGTGGGTAGGGGTACCTCTGTCAGCTTGAGTGAAGTATCAGACAAATCGTCACCGTTTTCACGAACAGCCACATACTATATATATTTTGTTGATTTTGAAGTAAAGTGTTTTCGAGATAATCACAAAAGAAGTTTCTCATATTTTAAAACTGCAAGAAATACTACTTTGCAACAACTTTGTGCAGCAAGAAAACCATCACACGATTCTACGTGAGCTGAAGTTTTACATAAACCCAGTAATAAGACTTAATAAAGCAGTTAATTAGTGGAAATTAATTAGTAAAGATATGTGGCTATTTGTGAAAACGCAAATTCACGTTTCCGACATATTGGCCCTTTCTGTTCAACGTGTATTTCCATAGGCGCGCGTGAGTACGCGCGCGCGCCTGAAAATGTAACAAAGATATGTGGCTCTTCGTGAAAACGCAAATCTCATTTGACCTACTTTTACGTATTTCCGTGCAATGGGTTTTGTACGCGTTCAAAGGGCCAAAATGTATGTGGCTCTTCGTGAAAACGCAAAATGCAGTTATTGAGATTTCTGCCCCTTGCAACATTAATGTAACTTAGAAATTAATGATGTTTTGCTTATAGAAACATGTCAAAATGGTTAAGTACATTGTTTTAATGCGAAATATCGAAAAAAATCAAAATCGAAAAAAATTGAAATTTTTGAGATATGTGGCTCTTCGTGAAAACGGTGACGAAATGAAGCAGTTCGTTGTCTGTCTTCTGAGCTTCAGCAATGGCGGGAAAGTCGATGACTGCCGAAACCTCCAAGGCTCCAATTGCTAAGCGAGAAAGTGCGTCAGCCGCCGCGTTGTTATTCCCACTGATGTGTCTCAAATCAGATGTGAACTGCGAGACATAATCAAGCTGGCGTATCTCCCTTGGTGAGTGGCGATCCGGCTTGGAGCGCAGGGCATAGGTCAGTGGTTTATGATCGGTGTAGACGCAGAATGTGCGACCCTCAAGCATGTGCCTGAAGTGCTTGATGGAAAGGTAGATCGCCAAGAGTTCTCTCCCGAAGGTGCTATACCGACTTTCAGCTGGTTGCAACCGTTTGGAGTAGAAGGAGAGTGGTTGCCATACCCCTCGCACTTGCTGTTGTAGCACGCTACCTATGCCTACATCAGATGCATCAGTAATGAGGCAGACTGGTGCGTCGAGGCTGGGGTGGACTAGCAGTGTGGCTTCAGCTAACTGGCGTTTCACTTTGCTGAAAGCAGTACGCTGAGTGTCATCGAAGGCGATTGTCGCATTCTTCCTGGCCTTGGTCTGCAGCATATCCGTGAGTGGTTGTATCACATCGGCGCAGTTAGGCAGAAAACGCCTGTAGAAGTTAACGAATCCCAAGAATTCACGTAACTTGCGGAGTGACGTAGGCTCAGGGAAATCGTTGACGATCTGTATCTTCTCTGGTAAGGGGCATATGCCATGTTCGTCGACAGAATGACCTAAGAAGGTAAGTGACGAAACTCCGAACTGGCACTTGCTAACATTGATGACGATACCGTATTCAGTCAGGCGATCGAAAAGGGTCCGGAGATGTATTTCGTGCTCAGCAGCTGACGAACTTGCAACGAGTAGATCGTCGATGTATGCGTAGACGAACGGCAAACCTCTGATGACCTCATCAATAAAGCGTTGAAAAGTTTGTGCCGCATTCCTCAGGCCAAATGGCATGCGGACAAACTCGTATAGGCCGAATGGTGTTGTGATCGCTGTCTTGTGGATGTCACTGGGTTCTACCGGGATCTGATGATACGCGCGGATGAGATCTATTTTGGAGAAGATGCTTTTCCCGTGTAGTGCGCTTGCGAAATCTTGTAGATGAGGTATCGGGTAGCGGTCAGGTATGGTGTTTCGATTGAGTGCACGGTAGTCACCGCATGGGCGCCAGTCTCCAGGAGATTTCTTCGGCACCATGTGAAGTGGTGAAGACCAGCTGCTGCTTGACTGCCGGACGATACCCAACTCGCACATGTGGTCGAATTCTGACTTTGCGATGGGTAATCGGTCTGGGGCGAGGCGACGTGGTTGCGCTGCTACTGGTGGACCGACTGTATCGATGTGATGAGTTACCTTATGTTTTACATCAGTGTTCTGATACGTAGGACGACACAAGGTAGGATAATCAGTCAACAGTGTTTCAAATTGTGAGGACAATGGCTTCACTAACACCGGGCTGAGACTTGGCTGCTTCGAAAGAACTCCAAAGACTACCAGGCTGGTTATGGAGTCTACGAGTCTGTGGTTCTTGACGTCCACCAAGAGACCAAAATGTTGCAGAAAATCGGCACCAAGAATGGCTACTGGCAAATTTGCCACTACAAATACCCATCGAAAAACACGGCGTAATCCAATGTCTAAGGTGAGAGAACGCTCCCCATAGGTTGAAATTGGTGACATATTTACCGCTTGAAGCTTGGTAGATGAAGTTGAGTGATGTGTATTCGTATCTCGCCCGGGAAAAACACTCACTTCGGCCCCAGTATCGACAAGGAAACGTGTCCCTGAACACTTGTCCTTTACGAAGAAAAGGCGACTGGTTGTGGGTGCGCCAGCAGGACTTGTCGCCCCTAGTTGCCGGCCTCCGCGTTTCCCTGGGGGTTGGGGTTGGTCTTGAAGGAACATGGTTGAACACACTTCCGTGCCTTTGATCCATAGCGCCAATGGTACCAGCAGTCGGTTGGGTCACGAGAAGGCCTGCGACTGCGAGACTGGCGGTTGTGATTGGAGGTATCTCGGCTACGTGACCGTTGTCGTGTTTGACGGCTTAGTTGGCCAGTGAGAGCTTGGACTTGCTCAGTAAGCTGGTTGATCCTTGTCTCGAGGGTCTGGAAGTTCGCGACCGTATGGGCAGGTTCAGGGCTGGAAACTGCAGCGGCATGAGTGTTCACTGTAGACACTGTTGGTACCGATACCTCGACGATTTTGTCGGCGGTATCGGCCAGCTGTTCGATGTTCACCGCAGTTGATGTGGAGGCAAGAATCCCTTGGATTGTCGTGGGAAGACGTTGCAAAAACAGTTGCTTGAGAATGTTGTCCTCCATGGTGTTCTCGCCTAGAAGTTGTCGCATACGTCGCAACAGCTGAGACGGTTTTCGGTCCCCCAACTCTTCTGCGATTAGCAACTGGTGTAGGCGTTTTTGCTCCGAGGCGGATGTCCGCTTGATTAATTCCTTTTTTAGGGTGTTGTAGCGATCGTGAGTGGGTGGGGAAACCAGTAAATCACGCACTTCTTGAGCGATGTCCGGCTGGAGCGAACTGACTACGTAGGCAAATTTTGTGTCCTGCACTGTGATGTGGCGGGTGAGAAACTGTGCCTCGACTTGGGCAAACCAAAGTGTGGGGTCATTCGGCCAAAATGGCGGCAGTTTCAGACTCACTGCTGCCACGGGCACGGCGGGCGCTAATTCAACAGGAACGGGCTTGGGTTCCACGGGAGGGTCCGACTCGGCCATCACGTCAGGGTCACCAATTTGTGGGTTTGGATTGTTATTTGGCAAAGTCGACTCACCTCTGGTGACTAATGTCTGCGCCCGTCAGTAGAACCTGGGCCTGCTGCGTGGTGTAGTCCGATGGTGGTGCACCGCGAGTGAAAATGGCAATAATAACGTTCACAAAGACTGACAGTTATGTACATCTGACGAAGACGAAATAGACGATGATATTTACGAATGACGATGACGAAAATGTACACAGAGGAAAACGATGAAAGCGGATGAAAACTTGATGAACGCGAAATAGTTACTTGACTGAACAGTGATAAAAACAAGATGGCGATATTTACATGTGCGTTTGTTAGTTGGAGTTTTCATGTCTCCAAGTGCAACGCACTTTGACCTTTGGCCACAGCAAAGGTATGGACGGCCAAACGGACAAAATTAGAAAGTGTTTTACGTGTCGCTACAATTGCAATGAAGTATTGAATCCCTGGGCCCTCATTTAAGGTCACACTCTTTGTGTTATCAATGGCTATCAAAAAATGGTCATTTTAAAAGGTTTATATCCCTGTTAATATTTATCCAATAACTATGCAAAAACACACTTTTGACGTTTTTTTTTAAGTTGTTTCAAATTTTATTTACATTATAAAAAGTTGAAAATTTCATTTCACATATTGAACATTTATGATGTGCTTTTGTAGAAAGTTCAAGAAATATTTGAATGTACATTTGGATTCTGTTCGAATTTACATAGTGGAAATCTGGCTCATTTTTTGGTTGTCATCACAAGAAGTGGGAAGAGGATGATTCAGTAGTCCCTTTGTCCGGTTTGAAAGTGGGGGGGGGATATACGTACTTTTTAATTTAGCAGCCTCTGGAAGTTAGGCCCTGAAGGAAATGTGAGGAATGGTTCTGTAACGTAAATGTGTGCTTGTTGTTCTGACCTCAGGCATCGATGTACCCTTACATGTAATGATGGTTTGTCTTATCATGGAAATTGTTGCAGAAAAAGAATGGAATGGGGGTGTACTAATTTGTGTTGGTTTGTGCTTGTGTTGGTATTGGGGGGGGGGGGTTGTGTTTTAAAAGTTCAATATGTATAAAGATAGATGAATATACATGTAGATATTCTTAACATACATTTATGTTTTTATTTAGATGAGTGGGTCAGTAGATGTGAAAATGTGGAGTTGCCCACCACTCAGACTTGGGGATTACGTTGGTACTGGAATAACTCGAGAGGCTGAAGTTATAGATATGAAGGTTGTCGGAGATACTATGGAGCAGCTGATGGCAAAGCTGGATGTGGGCCAGTTCGTGAAATGAACGGATATGACATGTATTTGAATACCAGAGGACGAAGAGTGTTCAAATTGGGCAAGAAGAGCGGGGTAAGTGTTTATAAATGAAAACATGTTTTTTTTTTATCAGAAGTGTGTTTTCGTAATGAGGTTGGTGGGGTATTTTTGAATGCATGTATAGCTGATTTTGTTATTACATACAGGGGGGGGGGGGTCATACATTGCATGTGAATTCAACCCCCCCCCCCCCCAAACAAACAAAAACAATTTTTTTTAAATCCTACCCCCTTCAAATGTGTTAATTGTTGATTTATAGGGTAATTGTGACGGAGAAAGCTGAAATTTGAAGTTTTAGCCCTGTCGGACCAATGGTTATCAAGTTACGGACCACTTTTTTTTGGCTGACTTTGGCCAAAAATGGGCTTGATCGTCATTTTCTAATCTCCCAAATTAGTTTAGAAAGGTAATTGTGTATGGAATCAAAATTTGCAGTTAGTTTTGACGTAGAAACAATTTGAAGGTTGATGAACTTTTTACCTTTACTTTGACCTTTACTTTGACCTTGTGGATGAGTTGGAGGATTCGGCAGGATTGAGGTTGTATCTAAGCAAAAATGCCTTGGAGTAAGAGTTAAAATGGAAAAATGGAAATTCCAACCAGTCACGGGCACGTATATTTTGGGGAATTGCCATGTCTTTTTCAGGGTTGTGCAGTCTATTTTTAAAATAGCACAACCTGTGGAGAAAGATTCATCTAACAATTTGTGCATAATGGTGATGCTGGTCATATGTTTTGCCACGTGCATGTACATTGTACATATACTGGTACATGCATTATACTAATAGCAATATCACAGTTTTGTATCATGTATGCCAACTTTGATAAGACCTGGAAAGCCAAAAAATATATATATTATATTCCAATTGTTTGATTTTTTGAAGAGAATATATTAGGTTATACTTTTCACCCAAGTTTAACTCACGGTAATGTGATCCACAAGGTCAAAGTCAAGTTCAAAGTAAAGGTGAAAAGGTCATTAACCTTCAAATTGCTTCTAATTGAACAGTTATGGCGAAGTTGGATTTCTGACACAAATACCTTTCTAAAGATACCAATATAAACACATTTGGCTATCTGAGTAGGGAGATAGGATCATTTTGAAAATGGCAGTCAAGCCCATTTTGGCCTAAATCGGCCAAAATTTTTGGTCCGTAGCTTGAAAACCGTTGGTCCGACAGGGATTAAACTTGATTTTGTTTGCGTTTTGAGGCAAAAGTACCCTATAAAGCAAAAATGAACCAATTAATTTGAAGGGGGTAGGGTTTAAACATTTGGGTATTGTGACATCGAATGACCCATAGCTAATTGTGATTGTGGATTGCAGAGTTGTTGTTATGTGCAATTGACAAGTATTTGTGAGAAATGTGCTTGACAGAGTAAAGTCAACATGAAATTATTCTGACTGGTTCATGGATGCTGTTATTTTGAAGAAAACAGTGAAAGAAGGCCATTTTCAATGATTGTGTGAAAAGACACATTTGTGAATTTTCTGTCAGAAGTTTCTTTTGAATTTGGTGAAGTGTGTGCAGGTGTTGACATGACGTTCACATGTGTGCAGTTGCTATAATTTGTTGGCTGAGTGTGTGACATTTGTAGCTGCAATTGGCTGAATGAAAATGTGGTCCAGATGGTGAATTTGAAATTCACCGTTTAATTGAAATTGAGGTCCTACGATATTGTTTTCTTGGAATATACAGCATTCACTGAGCTACCTGTTTGTAGATTAGGAGCATTTTTGTTGCTTCAAACGAACATAATGCACAAATTACAAATGATATGCTGTACATGTACGTTGAAATTGACATAGAAGTTTGATTAATTTTTTTTGGTTTCAATAGGTGTTTGTGACGAGCACTTTTAGTGTAGATTCAGAAAAGAAGGCAGCGTACTACAATGCTGAGGAAGTATCTATTGGGGAGGCAGTGATGATGAGTGATGAGTCACGGCGGGTTAGTGTTCGGGGAGTTGTGGTGGATGTAAGTGTAATATGAAACTATTTGTTGTAAAAGTCTGTGTGTTTTTTTTGTGAAGGTATCTTGTGTTTTGCTAGGGGTCTGTGAAGGTTTTTTTTTAAGCAGACATATTACATGACATGTAGATGTATGTTGGAATAGAATAATTGAAATGTTTTTCTTTGGGGGGGGCTTGAAATGAATTTAGCAAGAAAGTGAAATGTAATGGCATTGAATAGCGATCAGCTTTGAGAGTGTGGTTCTCTGCAGACAAGGCAAACATAAAGGTTGTATTTATTATGAGCAGTGAAAGGTTTTGAAATGAGTGGTGTATTGTGTGTTTTTTTTAATGAAGTGTTCAAGTTATGATGAAATATTTGGATTTTTATGTGTTATTTGTGTTTAAAGGGAAAATACAACATTTCCAAACATCAAAAAATAAAACTACCGATCATTTTAAAATACCTTGCTGAACTGTTAGTGAATTACAGTGTAAAGCATCCTGTAAAATCATGGCACCTGGTATACTGTCATTTTCAAGAAAAGTGGTATTTTTGTATCAATTTCCAACGCTGATCGGCCGACCAACTTTGGAAAAAACTGGCTTTTTTCAAATACTGGCCCCAGTTGACCATGGCACTTGTTTGCAATCGATTACACACCTATGAACGGGTACAAGCCAGCTAGACTGGGTCCCTGACCTTACAATTCCCTAATGTATGTAAACGGCTCTGTTTCTTCTTAAATGGAGTCAGGGAACCAGACTAAAGGAAAATTATTGTTGTTTTTGGTTTTATAGCATTTTCTAACCCAAAACTTCAAAAAGTCAGTGTAACTATATTTGCTTTATATTTTCAACCCCCCCCCCCAATTCCATCCATTTCTGAAAATCACAGCGAAAGAGTCACACCTTAAGACGTACGAGGGGCACAGTTGTTGAAATAATGATATATTATTTGCAGGTGTCACCAGTTAAGGCAGAGCCTCAGTGGGCCAGATGTGATGTAGATATCAAAGATGGTGCCACTGATTGCAAGATATGGTGCAAGCTTGGGGCGCTTTGCTGAAACTGCAGTGAAGAAGAATGACGCAATTAAATTGACGAATGTTGAGAAGCGGAAGTATAAAGGATACCAATCGTTGGATACAACGGAGGAATCTGAAGTTTCCGTAAGTGAATAGAAGCTATATTGTGTGAAGTAGAAGGCAATGATGTGAATATAAGCATATGGATGATAGTTTTTTATGTGAAAGTGGATTGAGAACTTGTTGTGGTCAGTGGCATAGCAAGGTCATTTTCATTTGGTGGAGGGTGTGTAAAAGGTCTGTACAAAGTTAATAAGGGCATTTGCACGTTGGTGCTGAAATGTATAGACAGGTGGTTGTTTCTGGTCATTTGTCTTCCATAAATTGTTGGGGGGGTGGTTCCATCTTTGTAGGGGTGCATTGTTGAAAGTAGAGGATCATGGACACTATTGGGGCATTTCAGGCTGGGACAATGTTTAATACGAATTCAGGGAACTTGTGATGAGGGCAAAGACATCATAATACTTATCCATGGCTAAATATCGGGCTATATGCTTGGTTGCAATATAAACACATAATTGTGTTTGTTGCTATTGGCTTTCCGAATTGATTTTGTGTGAGAGTTGTATACATGTAGGTGGTGTACAAGCATTAATTGAAACAGAAGCAATTTCAG